GGCGTGTTTTACTGCATTCCGTATCTGCTAAAAGATGGATTATTAAATAATTATTCATTTATGAACGCTCTGTATTAACAGTATGATAATGTTTGGACCTTTTTTTCAGGTAATTTTTTTTTTTATATAAAAGGATGCATATAATATTTAAATAATTTTTTGAATCTCCTAGCGACTGCATGAAATAAACAACGGAAGTTGCGGATTGTGTGGAGATTCCTATGACGAAAAACGCCAAAACGAAGCTGGAGGGCTTTACGCTAATGGATATATTGTACGGAAATATTATCAAGACGACGAGTTTCTGAACGTTACTGTAGATGTGTTAACGAATATTGGGGGATATTTTGAATTTCATCTCTGTTCTAACAACAACGTTTCAGAGCCAATAACCCAGGAATGCCTAGATAAATACCCATTAACGATTGAGGGATACGGAACTAGATATGTTCCGAATGCTGCTGTGGAACACAACTTGTTTCTCAAGATACCGAATGGAGTCACGTGCTCGCAATGTGTTCTTCAATGGAAATGGGTTGGCGGTACTTGTTTTTCCAATTCCTTAATAGCTTTACATTTTTAAAAAGTATAAATAAAGATGTGGTGTATATTTGTTTTTGCTTTTTCTTCCACAAAGAGTTCAAAGAATTGTGCAATATCCTAGTTGTTTTTCCAATACTTAATTATCAGTTTCAAGGTGCAAGTATCCGATCGTGATTTCTTTACATTTGATTGTTTTTGGATTTTTTATTTTATTAATGAATGAATGAATTAATTAATTAGTTAATTCTTATTTTTTTTTAAAATAACTTAAAGTTCATTAACCTCTGATAAGATTACTCTACCTGAGACTGATGATAATTATTCCTTTAAAAAGAAAAAGACAGGTTACAGAATTTGTGTTTTATTCACTTACGATTTAAATTACTTTTAAAAGAAAATTATCAATAAATCAAAATTTCATATATGAATATGTGAACAGGGGGACGATAAACTTTGAGAATTAAAAAAAAAATGATTTGACTGATGCAATATACTTTTTTTTTTTTACAGGAAACAACTGGGGAACCTGCCAAGACGGATATGGAGGACTTGGTTGTGGGAAACAGGAAGAGTACTATAACTGCGCAGACATAGCTATTCTTCCACCTTCAGGTAACAGAACGAGGATAGCTCGTCCTGGATTTAAAGACCGGAAGTATTTGTTCACTACCACGACTCAAAATCCAATGATGCCAATACTCCCTCCATTTATAAGACGGTCAGAAAAATTCAAAAGATTTTACAAGAAATATTTAGAAAAAGTTATGAAAGGAATGGTAGCAGGGAAATGGTCCGATAATGCTGTTTCTAGGTTAGATTATGAACTTGAGAAACAGAAACAAACCAACCAATCAGAAAAGAGTACGTATTGGGTGCCGAATCGTATATCAGACTTCCGCCTGACCGGTCAGTATCCAGACTCGTCCTTGCCCTCTTTATCAATCAATGTGCCGAGTTCTTTCAAAGGGAAGACAGAGTATTCATTTCTGGATATTGTTAGAAATAGCTTAAAGTATGGAAACTTTGACAGCAATTTTAAAAGTTTAGAAGTTAATGGCTTTGTCACTGGGCGACCTGTTTATCTGCCGGAGGGACCTCTAAATATGCCTCTACCCACCACTCAGACTGCAGCACCCCTAACACCATCAACAAAAACAGGTAAGAATCCCCACCAAACTTCAACAGACTGATGTGTTTGTTATCTTAGTTGCCCTTTCATTCATTATTTAGGATCTTTGCAATGTTATTTACATGTATTCATTTTAGGAAGACATTTAATAGACTTTTAAAGGCAGTATCATTTGAAATTAATTTTGTCATTTTGTATTAATATACAGTGTAGGAAATTAATGTATTACAATACTGTTTAATAAAACCGTTTTTGTTTTTTAGTTGGTTAGTTTTAATCTGTGCTTCATCTGACAATTTTAACTTCGACATTTTGCGAACAATGCCCAAAATCTCATGGAATATAGATATACCATGGAAATCGACTCTGAAGAAAAAATACATCTACATCAATTGATTATTTTTATTCAAATCATACATGTTATGAAAAAACGATTCTTTTGTTTTCTTTTAACCTTTTAATAATTAAAACTAACTTGACTATACATTTATTCAAAATTTTTAATAATTTATAAAATTTCTTTCTTTTATATCCATTCAATGTTTTCATCTATATATTTGTCATTGTAATGTTTTCATTAAAAAAAACTAAGTTGACTATAAACGTCTAGAAATTATTATTCCTTTTATCATTCCTTATGCAAAAGTCTCGGAAAAAATTAAATCGGTTAAAGAATACATTGTTCTTCTTTGGACAAAGAAAACTCAGAAAAAAGAGTCATGTGATAAGAAATCTGTATCTAATTGTCAGAATTTTTTGTTGATTTTGTTTTGTTGTTTTTAGTCTTTTCCACTACCAAGAAGCCCACAACGCGCTCGTTGAGCAAAAGTAACTTCCTTAGCAAGGATTCTCATCAGTTTGTTTACAGCCCTTGGGCAACAGCAGCTCCAAAAACAACGCTATCACCTGTAATAAACACGATAAAAAACACACCATCGGCATTATCGAGAACTAAAGCGACAACAACAACAATCAGCACTATAGACCCCAACAGAGTTATGTTTCCTGATTTTGACTACGAGCAAATTCGGACTAACAGAATCATTGCGCAAAGGATTCCATACTCTCTTCATAGGTCCGCGCTTCAAACACCGACCAATCCGGTGACGTCATTTTTAAACTCTATTTTTAACGTATTTTCGCCCTCTGTGGATTATATGTCCGAGAATCCATTCAATTATGATTCAACCTTCAATGACGCGATGTATCCAAATTATGCTAATGATATTTATATTTCAAGTGCAAATCCATCGACTAAATTCGGAAACAACAATAACCTACAAAATACACAAGAGAAGAGCATAAATTCTAACCCAAAAGATGTCGTTAAAGGAAACTCGAACGGTTTACTTTCTGTAAATGCACCGAAGACTAATTCTTTCATTTCGCGTGGATTATCGTCGGGAACGGAAGTAATGCGGGCTGGGACCGGAAAGATTTCTCCAGCAGTGAATAAAGTGCGTAATCAGCCGGATATTTCTACTCGACAGCTTTCTAACAGCGAAGGGAATCCTGGGATGGGGTTGAAGGACTCGACAGTTAATAGACTACGTTTCAGTGGTAATTTGGTCCTGTGATAAACAACTATTATACATTATTTACATTTCTTGCTGAAGAATTTTACATTATCTAGATGATTTTGAATCAAAAACGTGTGATAATAACAGTTTTATTACAAACATTATTTCTTTATCTCAATTAAATGAGGAAATTTCATAAATTTAAGAAATTACAATCATTGCAAAATAACTTTACCAATAGAAAAATCATTCCTGAAGTTTTGAAACAATAATAAATGATAAGTAAACTTTCTTAATGTGCACATGTAAAAAGTATGCATTTATTTGCTTTCTTAAACACAAACGACTTTTTCAATAAGACAATATTTTCGATAATGTTCCTGTAGGAGTTTCTCAGAGCTGTATTTCTTGTATAAATGTTTACTAATAGCAAGGTTCAATTAGATCAAGAATTTTGTTTTATTTGTATCAGAGTCAATAAAGGCCAATGGCCAACATCTTTGTTATTAAAGTAAATAATTTAGATCAATATTTTTTTCTTGACTTGTCATTTATGGACGCGTTTGTTTTGGTCTAAACTGTAGTTCACTCTGTGTAGATAATTTACCACTAAAAATCAAGTGCGATTTATTGTAGTATAATTATATATGCAATATTTACGCCCACACTTCAACAGCAATCGAGATTTTTTTTGGATCTCAGATTTTTTTAATGTTGCTTTTGTAAATGATTTCTGCCTGAATTTTTTTGAGTATTGAACAAAGTACCAAACATTTTCTTTAATTTCTTAAATGCATTGACTTTTGACTCAGTATATATTACTAAACAAACAATCTGTAGTCAACCTATCAAACACCTGACATAATTATAAATCACAGGGGAAACATCTTCAATTATACCGTCTCAAAAATTCTCAGCCATATTGAATTTTTGGCACTTACCAACACATGCCCTGTTCAGGGTGTAGGTGATGTACACCTGAAAGTGTATAATTACATGTATGTACAACTTTCCACTTGATTATGGAAAAGCGTATACGCTATACTTTGTACCCAGTGTAGAAAAATTAAGCTCAGTCTTGGAAATAAATTTAATTGACGTTTATTAGCGATACCTCATCTCTGTTTTGATCTCTTGTGATGCATTGTATTCAGGTTACATTTTTGGATTTTAAGATATCGTATGGTCAATTTCAAGCTTTTAAGATCACGCGGGGCTTGAACATTTTTGACTCGTCCATACCTTTATGAAGAAACATTGTAATCAAAATTATTAGACTACACATTTACTAAAGAACATGCCTGTTGCCCGAGTTAACCAGCTTGGTGGTCATTCATGAAAGGTCAAATTTATCCCCAGGACAAATTGACCAAGCTAGGGGGCAAATCGTGTTTCACAGTTTTTCAAAAAAATATCTTCAATATGTTCAAAAACAATTGAAATCAATATTTATTTATCAATTAATAAAACTTAAATTAAAAAAATATGAAAGAACTTGTTTAATAACATTTATTGAATCTTAAACACGATTTGCCCCCTAGCTGGTCCCCCCCCCCCCCCCCCCCCCCCCCCCCCCCCCCTTCTGTCCTGGGGATAAATTTGACCTTTCATGAATGACCACCAAGCTGGTAGGCATGTTCTTTAGTAAATGTGTAGTCTAATAATTTTGATTACAATGTTTCTTCATAAATACAGTTTCAAGCCCCGCGTGATCTTAAAAGCTTGAAATTGACCATACGATATCTTAAAATCAAAAATGTAACCTGAATACAATGCATCACAAAAACAGGAGGTATCGCTAATAAACGTCAATTAAATTTATTTCCAAGACTGAGCTTAATTTTTCTACACTGGGTACAAAGTATGAACAGGGCATGTGTTGTTGGAGCTGGTGGTGTTGTTGTTGGGACAGCTATATCTGGAGTTTGCGCATGTGGCTCATTTCCCCCAACTACAGGTCCGATAGTCTCCGTGGGGCCTTCGGTATTTTCCATCACTCGGTCAACTACAGGTATTTGTTTTTCCCTTCTACCTGCAGCAGTTGCAAACTGAGATGATTCTGTGGGTATTCCTAATCTGTTGACATTTGGACGGACATACGACGGCTTTATAACAACACCTTGAGCCTCAAGTTGTCGGATTCGTGCAATCACAGACGGATACCTCTGGCGCATAAGAGTCGAAAAATAAAATCGGCCGTTACGAATGGTGTAGATTGGATATGCTCGAGGAACGAACTGATTTCGGAAATTTCGGGTAACAACATGAATGACAGGCATGCGCAGAATCCTTCCATTTCTCTGTTGAATATTCATGAAGTTTATCCGGGGCATTGGAGGTCGAAGAAGAGGATTTAATCTATATTGTGGTTGTCGATTGTTGTTACTTTGCAGTCTGGGAAGGCGAGGTGTTCCAGGATCCATGCCCTCGCGAAAACCTGTCGCATCTGGCGGGACTTCTGATTGTATTTCCACCACTGCTTTGGGTACATCTATTGTCTCTGATAGTTTGGGATTTCTTTGATCTCTGGATAAATCTTTAGAATTCTTTGCATGCAGCGAGTTGATACCTGAGAAAGCAAGAAAATTGTATATTGTTCTTTTTTTCATCTGTTATGACAATTAAACAACTTACACTGTTAAAATGCGGTACGAACATATCTAGTTGGAATATGCATGTCAATTTTTAATGTTTTATTTCTCTCCTCCCACAATAATTACTATAGTAAGTTAAATTTCAGAATGAAAATGTACATATATGAAATTTTTTAAGTTTTCAACACTTATTGTTGTTCTTTTTTATTATTCTTGACTTACAATTTCGCTAATACTTGTACTTTGCAGGGTTAATTATTCAATATTCGGAACTGAGGACTTTTTCCCAAATGCTAACGCATCAACTTGAAAACAAACTTTTCCGTTAATTTTATGGGACCAAAAGTTGAGCTCTTCAGGATACACGTTGTTTGTTCAAGTATTAAAAGGGAGGTAAATGTTTCTTCAGTGTTCATAATGTCGATATCTTCAAATACATGTACTGATCGTGTACAATGTAGCTTCCTGTCAGATTTCTCATGGAAAAAAAATGAATGCATGATGGATATAAGGCTCAATTATTGAATATTTTCACCAATAATTTAAGCTACGAAAATGTTTTCTACATATAAAATGGTACCTACTATACAATTAATTAATTTAGACTGTATTAATTAGTTGGTATATTTTACATAGAAAGAACAATTCCATTGAAGTGTTTGACAATTTATTGTCCATTTATTATCTAGGAACAAAATGGAGAAAGTGCCAAAAAAAAAAAAAGAAAAAAAGAAAGAAAAAACATATATTTATTTGCCTCATTTTCATCTGAAGATTGGCTATACTATTTTTTTTTTTATGGAGTAGCAACAAATCAAAAAGAGAATCCTTAAAATGAATAAACAATATCAAGGAATTCCACAAATGAAGTACGTTTGATATACTCTCTGTTTATTTACCAATATGACAGCTTTATTTTTTTTTTCTTTAAAAAAAAAAGAGGATCATTTCACAAAGAGCGAACAAATACATATCATACTAATATTTTCTAAACTTTGATTGATAAAATTTTGTTTGATTTTTTTTTAATTTCTCCTTCCTGCTTTGTACAAATGTTGGATTTTAATTGATAAGTTTCGTCAAACATGAAATAGTAACAGACAATCTAATGTATGTGAAAAAATAAACGTCTACAGTAAATATTGTCAATTTGCATGAAAGTTTGTATGAATTTAGCAGTGTATTCTTTTGAAAATATTTCATTCTAATTTTGCTTTTTTTTTTTAATATAATGCTCCCAAAAAATATAATTTCTGCCGCTTTGAGAAACTACGAGAGAGGTACATGTATCATAGTTCGAAATATGAGTTTTAGTCTTTTTTATGTAGAAATTTATTTGTAGATTGATTAATAATAATAACAGTAATACTAGTTTTAATGCTTGTTTCAAATATAAAACCATCGAAATTATTTTGCTAGAATTCAATTTCTGGTATTGAAACAAAAGCGAGAAAAATTTAAAACATTAAATGCATGTATTCTGATTAAATACCACATACTTAATATTCTTGTTATTCTTGGAAAATTACGATTTGTCCTTAAATAGTAGTTTGTTAAACACAAAAATGAACTGTAGAAATTTAAATTTTATCGAGAGGCAAATTCGACGATTTGCAATTGTCCTTTAAAAAAGCTCTATTTTTAGCCAGAGATAATTTTAGCAAATTCATTTTGAAAAGAACGTTAACAGGAGCTATTTCTTCGGATACCGAATGAATTGTAAATTTTAGCGATCTTAATTCTCGCTAATAATACCAAAATTAAATTCTCCTATAAATTCTGCTACGGTCTTCTTTGGAACATTGCCATAATCAAGACAAATTCATAATGAAAAAGAAATCATTGTTACTTTAATTGTTAGGTCTTACCAGAATTCCAGGGGACACATCTGCAAAATTCTGCGGAAAACACCAATCCTTTATCGCAGCACATAATTCTTTGTACGGCTCTTTGTCTGATATTTGTATAATAACACTGAGGAGTCCCCCTGACAATCATATTACTACATGGCAAATTAGCCAAAAGTGACGAAAGCTGTAAAACTTCTGCTGCCATTTTTTCATTCAAATTTAAGTTAAACCTACTTTAAAAGAAAGACGAAAGATATTTGCATTATTTATATACCGTTGTCTTGCTTTAAGCTTCATTAGACACGCGTGATTTCCTCTGGAAGTTGAACAGATTATTTGACGCAAAGCAGTACTTCCTGCGAAGTCAGCTGTTTACGCATGCGTGATGATGTATGAGATACAAAAGGTCTTGTAGCTATTGACTTATAGGTGATTGGCCATTTCACGATCTGTCGTTAGCTGTACGTGTAATTAAGATTGATAATTAAGAATATTCGTGTAAAAAAAAACACGCACCTGTTATTTTCCAGCAATCAGTCAAACTCTCCCACGCCTATTGCCAACCAAAAATTTACATAAATTCACCAAACATTTACTAAAAGTTGTGTGTTTTAAATTGATTTGCTTTAGGATAGATAAAATATGCGGATCTTAAAGAAGACGATTTTTGTTTGCTTTGAAGTTTTTTCTTTCAGTTCTTTAAGCTAGTGTCCATAATGGGTTCAAGCAGATGAGCTTGTGGGTTGTGGTGAGGCTTCCTGTCATTTCAGTTAACAAAATAACTACATCTTAGTGAACAACTACATCTTAATGAACAACTACATCTTAGTGAACAACTACATCTTAGTGAACAACATCTTAGTGAACAACTATATCTTAGTGAACAAATACATCTTAGTGAACAACTACATCTCAGTAAAAATTCTTTACTTATATCGTATCAAACTTGTTTTGATTTTTTTAAATAGTTCTGATGACGTAAAACCTGTTCATCAAACTTTCGTTCTCGTGGTAAAATCCCACAACTTAGTCCATGTATCCAGAACAAACAAAAAATCGGGTTTTCATGAACTGTGGACAGGTTCTTTATTTCTGCATTGCTAGTTGAAAAATGAAGAAAAAAATTATTAGGAGATATTTGATTATTCATTGAGTATACCAGAGACTAATGAAAATGCCAATGAATCGCCATTATAATAAACCATTGGTCGGATATCGCAAAAGGGATTGTATTGTGTTGCCCCGAATTGAGCATTTCTGAGTTGATCGAGCTGAGTTGTGTTGGAATGGTGGTGTTTTATATAAATGCCATGACTTTTTTTCCGTGGGCCATAGTTGTGTAACAAATTAGCAGACAAAAGTTTGTCGTGAATATTAAACATATTTTTGTTGAATTATAATAAAATGTCAAACAGTGAAAGGTTTATAAAGTACATGATTTACGTTATTGTAATTATTGAAGTCTACTAATTTTATTGAAATTACGTGTTTGAAAATCTTTAAAAAAAATGGGCTTCATGTACATGTAATACAATTTCTGCAGGGAGTGGGTAAAATAGGTTATGTGCCTGCTGCCAATTCACATTCATTTTTATGCCCCCGGATCGAAAGATCCCGGGGGTATATTGTTTTTGTCCTGTCTGTCTGTTTGTTTGTCTGTTTGTCCGTTTGTCTGTTTGTCTGTCTGTCTGTTGTCAACTTTAACCTTGCCCATAACTTTTGGTTGGAGCTATGACTTTCATATTTCACATGTGTATTCCTTGTGACAAGACCTTTCTTTGGGTACCATCATATTTGACTTTTTGACCTTGACCTTGGAGTTTGACCCACTTTTGCAAAATTTTATGAGACTTTAACCTTGGCCATAACTTCTGAACAGTTGGAGCTTGGGGTTTCAAACTTCACATGTGTATTCTTTGTGACAAGGCCTTCTTTTGGATACCAACCACTTTGACCTTTTGACCTTGACCTTGGACTTTGACCTACTTTTGAAAAACTTTAACCTTGGCCATAACTTTTGAACAGTTGGTGCTTAGGGTTTCAAACTTCACCTGTGTATTTCTTGTGATAAGACCTTCCTCTGGATATCAACCACTTTGACCTTTTTGACCTTGACCTAGGAGTTTGACCTACTTTTGAAAAACTTTAACCTTGGCCATAACTTTTGAATGGTTGGAGCTAGGGCTTTCATACTTCACATATGTAATCCTTGTGACAAGACCTTCCTTTGAATACCAGCCACTTTGACCTTGACCTTGACTTTTATTTAAAAAAATTTAACCTTCACCATAACTTTTGAACAGTTGTATCTAGGTCTTTCAAATTTCACAGGTGTTTTCCTCGAGACAAGATCTTTCTTTGGATATCAACATTTTTTATCTTTTGGCCTGGATTTTGACTTGCATTTGAGAAACTTTAACCTTCGACATAAGCTGCCATACGGGGGCATAGTGTTTCACAAACACATCTTGTTTGTGAATGAAATTATATACTATGAATAACAAAAATCTGCAGCATTTTTTGGGGGGGGCAAAATCATAGTCCGTCAACTTTTATCAAGAAAAACATTTTTAATTTCACTTTCATCTTATGTATTGTAAAACTGTATTGGAAATTGTGGTTTTAAAAAATTGGTCTTGTGTAAGCAATAAAGTAATGTTATGCATCGGTGAAAATTATTATTATAGGTCACAGATTGTGTCAAAGAATTCGGTTATAAGATTCTTTTTTCATTCTTTTTTTTTTTTATTATTTGAGAATGACACCATACTATTCTCTGTTATCGTAGGAATAAGCATACCAGGTATGTAATTTTTGCCAACGTCATTTATCTGTTAATGTATATATGTCGATTCAGAAATGTTTCGTAACCAATATATATATATATATATATATATATATATATATATATATATATATATATATATATATATATATATATATATATATATATATTCACAAATAAAAAAAAAAACATTGTTAAAAAAGGTGCACAATAAAAAGTAAACAATATAATCGCGTAATGAACTCAGTGATAAAGTAGGTCTGAGTGAGAAAGTTCTCTATTAAAGTTAAAAAAAAAATATATATGCAGGTATATGAAAGAATTCTTGTGGTTATTAACTGTATTGTATAAGAACACAAATATATGCACAACTGTAGCTCACTGAGCTGGGAAATGGGGATTTATGACCAGAAAATTGTAATTGTAGTTTTATGGGTACAAGTACAGCCGATTTAATCTATGACGCAGGGAAATAAATTGCACAGTCTTCGAGCTTTTCGATGCATCCCAATTTTTTTTTTTAAAAAATGCAAACCAAAATATGTTTCCCTGTTCAGATTATCCAACTTGGTTTTTCAATTTTTTAAAAATTTTTTTTATTTATTTTTTGGAAAAGAGGGATAATTCTCTCTTTTTATAAATCTCACTTTTGTTTTATATTTTGTTAAGAGAAAATATTCATTAAATTTTTCGGTCCTGGTTTTCTCATTTTCTTGCACTTGTTGTGTAACCTGCTCTCAATGGTTGTTCATCTCATAGACATGAATAAGCTTCAAAACAGCGGCGACTTTAAAAAATAAAAGAATGCATATTTTAACAAATAAATTGACGTTATAAACATTTTCATTAGGAATTGACATAACTCCAAAAAAATATTGATTATGGAGACCCAAAGGAAACAAAGAAAGTCGTGAAATGCACAGCTACAGCAATATTTAAAGGAAAATAATTGATCAAGTTCTTTCTTTCGGTAATTCTTTAAATCCCAAATTAGATAAATTTCTAGAATGACTTACTAAGTCAATATAGTATCTAAACAAAAAAGGGCGATACCGTTTAATTTAAAATTAGTTTAAGACTTGTCTTCACAAAACAAAATAAGAGGCTGTGAAATTGAACACTTCTAAATAGCCGTGCCAGATTGCTGAGAGAGAACAAGAAAAAGAATAGAGTTTGATAAGAATGGAGTTTCGGTCTTTTTCGGAATGGCAAGGTAATTCTTGTACTTTTTATTATTTAATTACTTTTCCTACACTTCTTAGTCTATAGCTTTGCAAATCTAAGAAATGCCTCAAACGGTATATTGTCCTTTCTGACATATTTTATTTCATCAAATAAAATCTGCAACATGTCTGTTTTAATAGCGATTCTCTGTAACCACTTAAACTTCTTTGCCACGCATGGTCACCGATTTTGATGAAACTTTGCCCATTATTACAACTTGACACCAGAAACGTATATCAAATAAAATTTCGTTGCTATGTGTCTTGGTTGCCATGGTAACAGCCAGAAAAGTTGAAAAAATTGAGATTTTCAGCTACTTTAAATTTTTATTAAGCCTTAATAAAGACTAAGAAAAACAAACAAACCATTCTCCCAAAAACATGACACCTTGTTGCCACTTATGCTATAAAGAAATTATTTAGAATTTATCTCTAAGTAAGTGGTAACCATGGGTACATTTGGAATACATTTTAGATGCTGAAAAATGCTGAAAAACGCTCTATAGTCACAAATGATAGATGTTACATGATCAAACTCAATCAACAACGTAAGAAAAACAATGAAAAATATTTGACCTCATGTAATTAGGTATTGGCAATATTATTCTAAAAATAACTTTCATGGTTGCCATGGTAACACAGTGTCACCATGCAAAATCTGTTACTATGATTGGGTTAATGCTACTATCGTGAGGAAAAACAATAAAATTCATGACTGGCACATATGCATCCTTAGGACCTTACAACACCGACAACATAAGAAAAATTTAGATTAATTGTTACTTTGTAGTGTAACCATGGAAACAACGTACTAGTTGTTTAAAGTGATATTGTTTTTGCTGCTTTAGGAATTTACTAACTTTTTAATCAAGAAAAATATTATTTGAATCACCTTGAATAGTACTTATCTCGTAGAACTAAAGTTGAATATCATATATTGATAAAGGTTGTTGAAAAATACAACACTGTTGCTATGGTTACCAAGAAGAGAAAATGTTCGATTTTGTTAAGTTTTTGTCAATATTAGACCCTATGTGCCAGCTTTTTGCATCCAGTTAGAGATTGGGTGATAGTCAAAATTGAAAGTCAGGTTAGTTGTTCACATATATCAATCATTAAAGTTTTGGGAATCTACATACAACTGTACGTATCCAAGGAAACAGAGTGTTTTTCAGATTTTTATGCATGTTTTTTCGCCTTATTTCCATAGCAACGCACTATTTAAAGAATTGAAATTGAATTTTTTGAAATGCGAAAATTAGGGTCACACCAAGGCCTTTTAAAATTGATCATCAGTTATATAGAAATATGCTTTTTAAAAAGATAGGATAAGATTAAAACACTAAGAGAGTAAATTTAAAATCCCTTCGTGGTATTAAAACCATGGCAACCATTGCCAACCTATAAGAAATATCATAATTTGTCCTTGGTATATGTTACAAGGATCTCTTCTCTATTATTTGCTTGCATTTCAACCTATAATTGTTTTTATTCTTAAGTGTATGACTTTATAAAATTAAATGAACAAAATTATTACTTTTGAATACGTGGTTTCCATAGTAACGTATGTTATAGATGATTTACCAAACATGTTTATCATGCATTTAAGACACCAGGCCTTCAGCTTTCAGAAACAGTCATTGCCACTTGTTTGCTTTGCTGCAAACGTTAAATGTGGGACTCTGAAGATGTTGAAAAATGCCATTTTTCAAACTTTAGGACATGTTGTTATGGTAACCATGACACGTAGCAACCAATTTTTGCCTGATTTGAGTTTACGGTATCAAAGACTTTCATCATAGAGAGTTTGGAGAAATTCTGAGACTATGCGTGCCACAGCTCCTATATAAAAGTTCAAGTCATTACAGAGAATGGCTCTTAATTATCATATACAAATTAAATTGAATAATTGTAAAAATTTTTAGTGGCCAATATACCAAAGATACGCAAGTTCTAAGAGTGAATCAGCTATTTATTTTTTTTTTTTAAAAGGAAAAGTGACAAATGATCACACCCCAAATAAAAAAATGTAAATCAAAGTTTCATATCAAATCCCACCATCATGTAATTACACGTACTACATATGTACATGAATCCAAATTACTGCACACATGCTGTAAATAGAGGACAAGTGAAGGCTCCATAAATATACAGACAAACAGTTTGAAAATTCATCTCTACTTCAGTCAGTATCAGCTACCCAAACTTGGTTTTCACAAAGATACACTGGTATACGACCCGATTGCAATTTTTTTTAATTTCCATATATATTGTATATCTTTTAAAAATGTCTGTATGCGCAATGTCACTATAATAAACGATTACACTGTACTTACTTAAATGTACTTATATTTAAGAACCATCATGACCATGTCTCACTGCTTATGTGTGGGTCTGTACACGGTTAAGTTCAGTATTTTAGTCACTTTCTGGCTGATCTCTATGCGTACTCGAGCCGAGGTTGCTGGTATCCTGTCTCGTCCCCTTTGAAGGTGAATTCGGAAAATACTGATTGATTGAATGATTTGTTTTTTAAATCCCATTTGAGACTTTTTTCTCTCATGTAGGTGAAGTCACTTATACGTTTAGTGTCACAAATTTTCACCTATGCATAGTGCTTTCGGTAGTTGCAGTACTACCGAAGGTCCTATTATCGTGCTAAAGACTATCATGATGCAGAACATCTGAGATACCCATTACGTTCATATTTAATGTAGGACGCTTGCAGAAGAACAAGATGTGTTTGTGAAACACTGATGCTTCCGTATGGCAACTTAAAGCGAAGGTTAAACTTCCTCAAATGCAAATCAAATATGTTGGTATCCAAAGTAAGTTCTTGTCCCGAGGAATATACCAGTCTGTAAAATATGAAAGCCCTAGCAGAAACCATTAAAAAGATATGGAAAAGGTTAAAAATTTTCAAAGGTAAGTCAAACATCAAGGTCAAGGTCAAATGGTCAAAATTAATGGTGCCCAAGGAAAGGCCTTCTTACAAGAAATACACTTGTGAAATATGAAATCCCTAGCACCAAACGTTCAAAAGATATGGCCAAGTTTAAAGTTTATCAAAAGTAGGTCAAACTCCAAGGTCAAGGTCAAAAAGTCAAAGTTGTTGGTATCCAAAGTAAGGTCTTGTCACAAGAATTACATATGTAAAGTATGAAAGCCCTAGCCCAACCGTTCAAAAGTTATGGCCAAGGTTAAAGTTTTTTCAAATGTAGGTCAAACTCCTAGGTCAAGGTCAAAGGGTCAAAGTTGTTGGTTTTCAAAGGAAGGTATTGTCACAAGGATTGCACAAGTGAAGTATGAAAACCCTAGCACCAACTGTTCAAAAGTTATGGCCAAGGTTAAAGTTGGGTAAAATTTTGTAAAACTGGGTCAAACTCCAAGGTCAAGGTCAAAAGGTCAAATATGATAATACCCAAAGAAAGGTCTTGTCACAAGGAATACACATGTGAAATATGAAAGCCATAGCTCCAACCAATCAAAAGTTATGGGCAATGTTAAAGTTTTTGCCGACAAACAGACAGACAGACAGACGGACGGACAGGGCAAAAACTATATACCCCCGAATCTTCGATACGGGGGCATAAAAAGTCAATGTCCATGCATGGTACATTGTAAACGTCCTGGGTCAGACGCGGCGCATAGAACGTAAATTGAACTTGGGGCCTCCCGACCAAGAAGCGAGCGCCCAACCACTAGGCCACCGAACAATACGATAAATAAGTCGCCGATGTCCTCTAGGTTTACACGAACACTTTACTAATGTGATTTGGAGTAGTTTGATACCAATGTAAAGAACGATAACTCATTTGAATAAGTTGTTCACAACAGCTGCCAGATTGTAACTTTTCATCTCTCCATCACCAGTATGTCAATTCTTCTGGTTCAAACATTGTCAAGATGCAACAATACACAGATTCTTTATTCATTCTTTATTTCCACCACATGGAGATTTATGAAATATAAATATAAATCAGAACGTATTATCTTCTTTGTGTGTCAATTAATTAACAAAATAATGTTAAAGAAATTAATGCAGTTGAATAAAAGATCAAAAAGATGTTTTGCTTACCCAAAGCCGTCATATTATATCTACAGGAATATCATTTGATACAGTGTGTACAAATAAATGTGAAACATATACATAAACTTATAAACCACCATATTTAGATCTCTATAATACCAATTTCACAGTGGGAAATAAACTTTTGTTTTCAATAATTCTAGATCTAATGGATTCAACGCCCCCTCCCTCTTTTCAATATAATGTTTTATGTAAATTATCCATTCTAAAACAAGTGAAGCATAAATCCGATCATTTCTTGGAGCAACGTAAAATTAGCACAACAGGAAAAAACTGGTACGCTTGTGATCCATTCGTATAGTAAAAGTATGTAAAATTTATTTCCCTCGCCATCGTAACATTTTTGCTCTTCACTAGTAGCCAATTAAACTTTCCCTTCAATCAAACTACGGAGTAAGATTTCATGAGATAGTATTGTCCCATCATTTTGAAAATGGTCAACCTTTATCACACGTGTAATATGTGTAAAATAAAGTAGTTTCTCCTAATAGAATATTAAGGAATCATTGTCATTCCTGCTTTAATATTATCATTATTAATTACTTTTCGAGTTGATCATAAAGACTTTGTTTTGTGTGTGTGGGGGGGGGGGGGAGGGGGGGGGAATGTCCATCAATCACGTTAACAGTAGTTACAGTATTTCATACATCAATTAAATAAACCACCCAATGTCGATTTTATCGTGTACTTTACCCAGCTGACATGGGTTGTGAATTCACGTATCAAATTTCGACGTCTTTTTAGGCCACTCTTTATATTTTCGTGATAGGTTATATTTCAGCACAAACTATATATTTGACCCGATTGAAAACAAGATATCCCACAAGCTAAAGAAATCCTTTAAATTGCACAACAAAAATTTCGTGATTAAGAAAAATTAAAAGACCCGTCAGTTTAAACTAAATCAAACTTAACATTGTCAGAATTGTCTTTTTCTACTGTGTTTATAAAACAATATACAGTTTATCAGATTTAAGACATCTTAATATCTATTTTTTTCGCATTTTGCGTGAAATTTTGAAATTTTCAAGAGAAAAAAATATCGTGACACAACGGGGGTGTTGCATTCTTTGGGATTTCTTTTTCTACTGTGCTTTTAGAACAATATACAGTATATCAGATTTAAGACATCTTAATACATAACAGAGAATATCTATTTTCTCGCATTTTGCGTGAAATTTTGAGAAAAAAAAATCGTGACACAACGGGGGTGTTGCATTCTTTGGGCTAACATTTCTTGCATGCTTTTAGTATACACAATCATGAAACTTGTTTTCACATCTCCGTTCGTCTGAATTTTTAGATTTAGGTTCATGAGGTCATTTTAAATCAAATATCAAAATAGTATATCTAGCTTGTTAAGGTTAAATCCTTGCTTCACGCACATTTAGAAAAATCTCCACTAAGTAGACATAAAATAAGTTGATCCATTTCTTTTTCTCAGCGAGTTATCACCTTAAATTAATTCATTAAGAAAACATCGAGTCTTCATGAGGCATTTCTTTTCAGTCTTGACACATTTATGGAGGGGTTTAAATTTTCGATTATTTGGAAAATTTAGTCCTTGTTAAATGGGCGTCGACTCAACACTGATTCTTTGATATACGGAGAGAGGGTGGATTAACGCTTGTTTATTTACACTCAAATCGCTCAGATATACAAATGTACAGAGGTACCTCAACAAAGTTTTTTCTTGTAAAATAAAAGCACTTTTTCTGTTATTCATCACATAAGAAGGATTTTTGAAGCGGGTGCAAGTTAAAGGTAAGCCGAATTTTTTTTTTTTTTTTTATAATTTCTTTTTATAATTTAAAAAAAAATATTCATAAGTACTTTAAGCTTTTGTTTTATTTTGAAAACTGAGATTAAAATTTTGGACAAAAAATATCTGTCCCCAAAGTCAATTATTCTCTCGGTTTACTTTTTTCAAACAATTCCTAGTTAACTGAAGTGCTAAACTGTTAATAAAAGTTTGGACAATTTTAGCGAAAATTACATAGGAAAGGGAGCAATAAAGAGTATTTTTCATTTGGTAGAAATGAGTGATGAGCGCGGGGGTTGAGATCGAGTAAAAATACCCCTAAGTACCTAAAAGGGACAAACCAAAATATATATGGGAAAAATAGAATATTCTTCGAGAAGTGCTCCCACACCCTTTCCCCTTCAAGAAGGGTTTTTGCGCTTGGAGAGTTTTTGTCTGTGTGCATGTTTGTTTGTTTGTGAGTGTATTTGGGTATGTGCGTGTGTGGTGTTAGATTGTCAAATCGGATTTTTCCTGTTTTATGAGAGTACTGACCCTCCAGCCCCACCCCCACCCCACCCTCCATCCCCCAAAAAAGAAAAGAAAAGAAAAATTCCTGGATCCACCCTTGTGTATAGACGGTTAATTGTTTACTAACTTGATCTCGGCGTCATCTTCGCTAGTCAAGGGTTTTTGATATGCTACTCTCCTCACAAACCCAGAGTAGCGGATCAGAAACTCTTGGGTAGCGAAGATGTCTCGGCGTTGATCTTTTTCCTTGTATAATATTACACTCACAAATTGTGACCTGGAATTGACCTTGATGTTTGACCTGAGTAGTAGTATTAAAACATCTATTATATAGACAATAAGAAAAGATATTCTACAAAGATATTATATTTTCACTTCTAATTATAACCTCATGTGTCACCATTTAAATTTTCTTAGACAAATGCCTTTATTTTCGTTGCGTTAAGTAAAGATACATTTAATTTTGAGCCCGCGTGGCGCAGTGGTTAGAGCGTTTCTCTAGAGTGGCGATGTAAGGAGTTAATCCTTACGTCGCGGGTTCGAATCCACTTCGGGACGTGGAGGCCGGTCCTTCGGATGAGACCGTATAAACCGAGGTCCCGTGTCGCAATAGATGCTGGCACGAAAAAGATCCCTCAATGCTCAATGGCCCTGAGTGTCGAGTATAGGCCAACATTTGCAGCCCTTCATCGGCAAGTGGTGGCGTCTCCATATGAGTGAAAAACGTAAAACAAACAAGCAAACAAAACAAACAAATTTTGAGCGCTGGGCATACCTCTATAATTATTTATAAAATTTATATGTTTCCGATACTGCTATCGTAATTGAAATCGGTTCGGCCCTGACATCGGAATCAATCAAGAATCTTTGATGCGGGCACTTCAAAAACCAATTTGTTTTTATGACTGTTCCATTCCACTTCCAAGATAGGTAGATAAATTGCAGAGTCCTTAATTTGTTTTATTAAAAAAAAAAGATTTCACTTCATATTAAGTTCAATATGCATCTTACAATCCTACCTTGTCTCTTGTTACGGAATTTTTTCCAGCCATAACGAGAGACACAGAGAGTTCAGTGTAAAGTAATATTGTGGAATTCTTACCCT